CCGAGGAACCCCCGAAGGACCAGGAGGACCCCCCCGATGAGCCACCCGAGGGCCTGGCGGGAGGGAGCCAGGAGTCGCCCCAGGCCCTCTCCCACGGGAAGAGCCAGACTGCTCGGCCCCCTCGGGCCACGCCTGACGTGCGACGCACACCTGCCATCGCTCGGGCGTCCATCCCGTGTGCACTGGTCGGGTCCGTGCGTTCATTTTTCGCGAGATGATCCCAGGATGCTCCGTGATGGCTCTCGCCGAGGGAAGAGACTGCGCGCTTCCGCGCGATCCCAAGCACAAGGACATATACTGGTACTGTGCCGTGCTCGCCTCTCCTTTGAGATGGCGCGCACGCCCATCTCTCCTTTGAGATGGCGCGCACGCCCACCTGCGCCTGCGAGCCTCCCGCGCCTCTCTCGGGCAGTTACTTCACAGGTCCTCCTCCTCCTCCTCATCCTCCTCCTCCTTCTCCTCCTCCTCCCCCGCCTCCTCCTCCTCCTCCTCCTCCATCTGGGCAGTTCGCTTCCGTCCCGCTCTGTGCATGCCTCTCTGCCTCTCTATTTGCCTGCATCGGTGGCGCTTGCCCGCAGGCGTTTTGTCAGTCGTGCGAGTCCTTTCAACACGACAAAGGCGCACCGCCCATTCCGACGTTCGACGACGACGACGACGACCCTCCTCCTCCGGGGCGGACGATCGGGGCCGTGGTGATTTTTTGACCGCCGGGCAGAGTGGGGCATGCATGTTGCACTTGCTGGTCTTTGAACTTCGAGCTCCCTCGCAGCAGCCCCACAGGGAGGGGGGCCGAGGCAGCGCTGTGGGGCACGACGCTTCCTTCTGCCGAGTCGATCCGATCTGATCCCAACGTCTCCCCCTCCTCCCCCTCCTCCCTCTCCCCCGAACTCGCGTGGCGCGCGCCGTCTTCTCGAAACGGCTCATGTTCCTGTACGTCACCAGCCTGGGGGGAAGGGGGGCAGCGACGGCAACGAAGGAGGGGAGTCGCCTTCCAGGAGAGAAGGCAGAGGGAGAGAGGGAGAGAAAGAGAGAGAGAGAGAGAGAACAGACAAAAAGAGAGATAAAGAGGGAGGGAGAGAGAGAGAGAGAGAGTGAGAGGAGAGAGAGTGAGAGAGAATGGGACAACGAGAGAGAGAGAGAGGGAACACACAAACGATAGAGAGAAAGAGAGACGACACATAATTTTCTACACATGCGAATCTTATGATATGAAGAGAGGGAGGGAGTGGGATGGGGGGAAGAGAGAAACAGAGAGAGAGAGAGAGAGAAACAAAAAAGAGGCAGAGACGGGAAGAGACAGAGCAGAGAGGTAGATATGGTGCTAGACAACGACCGAGAGATAATATAGACATACGTTCATATTAAATGGCACCAGAGAAAACAGCAAACATAATCTTGTTAGGGCTATAGGGATATAGGGTTATAGACACATAGATCTATAGGGCTACAGGGCAATAGGGCTATAGGGCTCTAAGTCTATCAGGCTATATGGCTATAGGACTATAGGGCGATTGGGCTATAGGGTAAGGAGTATATAAGGCTACAAGGCTATAGGGCTATAGGGCTACAGGGCGATTGGGCTCTAGTGCTATAGGGCTATAAGGCGATAGGGCTATAGGGCTATAGGGCTACAAGGCTATCAGGCTATAGAGCTATAGGGCTATTGGGCTATAGGGCTGTAGGGCTATTGGGCTATGGGGCTATAAGGCTATAGGTCTATAAAACTATAGGGCTAAAGGGCTGTAAGGTTATAGGGCTATACAGCACCCGTGCACCCGGGTACCATGGCACCTGGGCACCTGGGCACCCCGGCACCTGGACACCCGGGCACCTGGGAAAACTCCCCACGCACCCTGGGCACCTGGGCACCTGGGCACCAGGCACCCGGGAAAATTCCCGACGCACCCCACCTAACCTTATGAATCCGCCAGGACCCCTACACAAGTAAGCTCCGATTAGGGAAAATGCGTGTGCATGAACCGATGTGTAAGCAGACACGCGCACCTACCGTTTTATACATACACATAAGACCACCATTCAGGTGCAAAGGAGGTTCGTGTGTGTATATGTGTGTGTGGTGTGGTGTGGTGTGGTGTGGTGTGGTGTGGTGTGGTGTGGTGTGGTGTGGTGTGGTGTGGTGTGGTGTGGTGTGGTGTGGTGTGGTGTGGTGTGGTGTGTGTGTGTGTCGTGTGTGTGTGTGTGTCTGTGTGTGTGCGTGTGCGTGTGCGTGTGCGTGTGCGTGTGCGTGTGCGTGTGCGTGTGCGTGTGCGTGTGTGCGTTTGCGTGTGTGTGTGTGTGTGTGTGAGCGTGTGCGTGTGCGTGAGCGTGTACGTCTGCGTGTGCGTGTGCACGTGCACGTGCGCGTGCGCTTGCGCGTGCGCGCACGCGCGTGCGCGTGTGCGTGTGAGTGTGCGTGTGCGCGTGCGCGTGCGCATGCGCGTGCGCGTGCCCGTGCGCGTGCGCGTGCGCGTGCGCGTGCGCGTGCGCGCGCGTGCGCGTG